CCCTGTCACGGCAGAGAGCCGTGACAGGATCGAGAGGTGAGGGAACCCGGTATGTGTTCTCTCACCTCCCGATCTACTGAGCTGACCTGTGACAGTCTCATTGTCACAGGTCGGCTTAGAACTATGAGGTGAGTGGAAATCACTCATGTCATAGTTCTCCCTTAAGTTGGTTTAGTGATCCAGTTTGGGCACTCGGGCTCAAAAAGGTTCGCCATCGCTGCCCTAGATTATACATATGAGAAGGAAGAGAGGTATTCTGTACTCCTAATGCTTCATATCCAAGGGCAACCCTGCTCCTCCAGGAGTTACTAGCAGGTCAAAATATAAACAAAAAAGTCTTATAAGCTGCACTATTTTATTTTTGTTCTTGGGTTTAGATACACTGTCACAGAACTCCATAAAACAGTAATGGTGGCCTAGCGTCATTCGTACATGTATCTGCCGGTACAGATTTCTGTGGCGTTAGTAAACGGTTGAACAGTGCATGTCTTGCTTACGATTGCAAAAAATAACAAGGCTCCATCTTGCTTTTTAGAAATGTATTAGTATTATTATTATTATTGTTATTATTTTAGAGGGTTTTTTGTTGCAGTTTTCCCCCTGTGCCCATTGTGCTGTAATGTGCATGTTCTGACTTATGATACGAGGAAGGACTTCACCTGACTCAGTCTATCTCCTAAGGCCCGGTTTACACCTGCTCATCACGGGAGCGGGGGTAGCCGGTTGTGCACAGTTGCGTGCTGCGAGCCCCCCATCCATGAGTTCATATATGAGCGGCAAAAAAGCCCACGTAGTATTCTTTGCACCATGCGTTTGGTGTTTTTTTTTGCTTTCGCATTTATGCACATTTTGGGGTGCCATTAAGAATGAATGTCACGGCAAGCGCATTTCCGCAAATGTGTACAAAGCACGCACGTATGTATACGCACACTTTGGCATGCGTTCACGGGGTGTGAACCAGGCCCAACAGTGATCCACACAGCATGGTCTTACCATAACTTGGGAAGCGGTCTGGAGTTGATTGCTCTATAGGTTGTCTTATCTCATCAGAGAGGACAAGGCAACCACTACTACACCCCACCTTATCCCTACTCCCACTGCCTGGTTGGGATCCATTGTGCATTCACAACATTAGAGGATCTGAACCCTTATGGGATTTATAATTGGCAGTGTTTAAACATAGCATGCTTATCCTTTTTTGACCTGAAACTCACCCTCCCCAGATTACCTTTGCCCCCGCGCCGTGGCCCACCACATTGTTACAACTTTCTACAATATCTTCTTATGGCAACCTAATCATTGATGACCTGTGTCTGGTTCTCTTTAAGGTTTTGCGGAGAGTGTTTGCAGCCATGTCTTCAGGTGTCGTCTCCTCTTTGTCCGCTTTGTCGCATGCCTTTCGACCCAAAGAAGGTGGAAAAAGCTTCCAATGTAGACAAACAACTCTCTTCATATAAAGCTCCTTGCAGAGGATGCAGTAAGAAGGTATGTTATCTGAGGCACCCCACTCTGTAATACAGGTGCATTAATTATAGATTTATGTCTTGATGTAGAAGACATCACTTCATGGAGACATACATGGATACCATAGTACGAGTACCAATACTTTTCCTCAAGTACTTGCCGATATCTATTAGGATATCGTTTTGTTTTTTTTATTATTGTCATGTGACAGTTTTTCTAAAACAGTACAAACTAATGATTTTAGGACGGTAGTGGAGCGTGCAGGGCCCGGTTGCAGCTGCAACCCTGGTAGTTCTGCCACTGACTCCAAGCTGTAGAGAGACTCCAAATCTTAGTATACGTTATACAGCAATGCAGAATAATACAATCAGCTATAGGGGACTACAAATTTCAGCAATACATTATACAGCAATGCAGAATACCACCAGCTATTGAGGAATACAAATCCCAACGATACAGCAATGGCAATTGGCTATAGAGGACTTCAAATCCCAGCAATACAGTATAGAGCAGTGCTGAATAATATGAAGCTATATGTGCTGCTCCGGGGTGCCGACCTGATGTCTCCAGCAAAGGATCTCAGGTAGGCTATGCGGGGGTCTCTGGTGCTGTAAACAGGCACTGCGTTTCACAGGAAGGCTACCTAGGTCCCCATGCAAACCCAGATCCTCAGGCAGCCACTTTAGTTCAAAAATTTAAAAAGCCGTATCAGCATTTAGTATCGAGGCATTCTCACGAGTACTTGTGAACATGCCCAGTATTGGCATTGGTTTTGGTACATCCCTAGTTATAAGGGTTAGAACCTCTGTCATGTCTGACTCTGTGTAGATTCAGCCTTGTTTTTGACCATTTCCTTTCCCATTAAAAAAAGAAACCTGTAACCACTTCCCATCCGGCCATTGTAATTAAACGGCTGGACAGGACACTCTTGAATGCGGGTGGGCATTTTAAAACGTCCTTTCCCACCCCGTGCACGCACAAGCAGCAGCATTTTAAACAGCAGGCGATGGCTGTTTTCATGCAAGCATTCGGGTGGCTATACCACAGCGCTGAAAAATGGCCTGGTCAGGAAGGGGGTTTAACACCCCAGCATTCAAGTGGTCAAAGGAAACCTTTTCTGAGAAACACATCAGGCTGCCATTGCTGATCTCTCGTTCTGCAAATGCTGCTATCTGGCTGTCACGGTCCTAGTATTAGCACATATAATTCCACCGTTCATCTGCTGGGGAAATTGGGTATTACAGTAAGTAACATTAAAATAGTTCTAAGAGATGCATTCGGGCAGATGTATAAAAATCTCTGGTGTTCAGACCCACACTGGCCGCATTTGGTATGTAAAATTGTTGGATGAGGTTTCGTGAATGTGCCAAGTTAGGGCAATGCAGAACTCTTCTTTACACTAAGCCCCATCCTCACTGGTCCTTCCTCCATCACTTGTACATCTGTCACCATTCTGTTTTCAGTATTAAGTCAACCCATCACTGTAACCTATAGGAGCTGAAAGACCCGACGTTGGCTATTAGTGCTGGTAACAAGTGGACAGTCTTTCATTTTAAATTATATCTAAACTAAAAATCCCTACTTCTTCTTGCATTGTTTACCTATAACGTGTTTTCTACACAGGTAACTCTCGCAAAGATGAGATCCCACATTTCTTCATGTGCCAAGGTGCAAGAGCAGATGGCCAACTGTCCAAAGTTTGTTCCAGTTGTCCCAACTTCTCAGCCCATTCCCAGGTACTGATTCTCATTGAAAGATTTCTGTAAATACTAGGCCTCCATTCTACAAAATAAAATCAGATAAAGGTTGTTGTCTTGGAGGTTCTCGTGTATTGATATGAATTTATAACACATTTTCAGAATAGGTCAAATAGGGTTTCTTGCAGCTATTAAAGAAACTACTTCTACTACCCTCCTCCTGAAAATGTCTGTTGTCTGCTTGTCTTTGGATTTAGCTTTTTGAGTGCGTAATTCAGGACAAGCATGCAAGCAACAAGTGCTCAGAATATTTTATCCTCATACATTTTTCCAGATCAGTGACTTAAGGACTCTAAAAAAAAAAAGGGGGGGGGGGGGGCTGCAGGGAATAAATTGACGCGGCTTG